ATGGTGGGGATAAAGTGGGGCTAGAGTGCACAAAAATCAAAACGCCTGTCCGTGCGTTCGGATAGCCTTCCGTCTGTGAGTGCGCGGAGCAGCCAAGTCGCCGGAGTGACCTATTATACCTATCGTACTTGCAACCACAGTTATAATGACTGATTTGGCCAGTTCCATGCTGCCGATTTGCTCTATCATAAACGAAGATCACCATTGCAGTCAGCCCGAGGCCGACTCCCGAGTGGGCCAGTTGGCACGTCATCCCTACATACGGCATCGTCAGGGATGCGCTCGAGGTGAATTTCGAGCACAAACACTCATTGCCAATAGAGGCGAAGAGACGAGTCCCAGGAGGCAGTCGTGAAGAAGGAGACACGATCGCTGGGACAAGAGTTTTATTAACCTGACGTTTCGGATTCCTGCTCGAACCCATTATCAGAGACATAGGAAGATACATTTGTAAAAGACGGACTCTTCACAACTTTCGCGACGATTTCCCACCGCACAGTGGCCAAGGACTCGCTTGGTTCTGACACGATAGGATCCCTCACCTGAACACGTACCTGTCATCTAGGGTCTCTTTTTGCATGCCATTCGGATTCAACATTAGGGCGCATACAGCGACATATACAACGGTAGTTCGTCCGCCAAAAGTGGAGGTAGGATAATGAGGAACTGCACGTGTTTTTTTTTTTGGGGGGGGGGGGGGGTCACGCCTAAGAGACATCAACCTTGCTTCCCCATCCCACACCCACCGTACTCTGATGGCAAAAAAAAGCTATGGTGACTGGAGATGAAAGTGGAATCAGTGACTGACGAGGCTGAAGTCACGGCTACACGGGCCCCGATTCCCGAGTTCGACGAGCAAGTCTTCAATTGGGAATCTGGGGTCCTACCTAGGTGAGAGTGCCATAAAGGTCACAGTGCGAAGGAGTCCTCATGGTGTGATCCTACCTTGAGCAGAGCCGAAGTAACCTGCTAGATGGCAATATGCCAAATCACAACTGTCAGCGCATCCACCTGTTTATATTGAGGAAACTAGGAGCTTTATAAGAACTGCAGCCGCCCCATTTCTTCGTTTTCCTGCCATATCAGCAGTGAGTTCGAGCCAAAGAGGTCTTAGGTTTAGTGAGACGCTCCCGTCCAACGCATGCGAGATGCAAACGACTTACATGAGTCTCCCTTTAACTCCCCCAGATACCCAACGGGGGTGTGGATTTAAAAGGTGAGCATTAGTTAGCGTCATCGATTCGCGGAAGATGAACATCACGGAACTAACTGGAAAATGGAAATTAATAGACGAAGGGACTTACAGCATTTGCCGGAAAAGCACGGACCATAACAGGTGTAACACCCTTGTACAGCGCGAATATGCCCTCCTTAGCCATCATTTCCGCGAATACCGAGCGGATACCCTTTGGATACCGGCCCTCGGGGGCTAAAATATGGTGAGAAAAAAGGATCAGCATCAGCAGCAGCGGAGTACGACCGCAAAAAGTGCCCGGTGAAATTACTACAGTCGCTACTGAAATATTCCCACTCGTCCGCGCGAGTGACTTCTGCTCGTGCCTGTCATGCGAAAACAGTGGCGCTATCGAGCGAGCCGCAGTCCTATGGGTCCGTTTTCATTAACCCAGAGAACTTACAAATACAACTAATGCTATGAGAAATTCACCGTAATATGCGGCGTGATCTTGTCGCTTCATTTTTGCTCAGTTTGCTGGAACTACCTGTGGTAGACCATGCAGGCATGAAGCAGTTGTCTAGCCTGAACCGAACCAATTATTGTAGAACATATGCCCCAGGCAAACTGAGTGGTAGGGCGAGTGACTTCATTGATAACATCTCCAACATCTGTCAGAACTGTCTCGGCCAACACTGTTTAAGTATGCGATGGACTGGGCTCTTCAGCACACATTCGCCGATTGTCCTGATGTGAAAGTAAATCATGCGGTCGACTCCGCGGTCTTAGTGATTTTCTTCTCAGATAAGGCGTCCCCCGTGAGCTTGCAGGCAGTTTCTTATACCTTGGACTAGTTTTTTTTTTAATAATGATGAACTGTAAAACCGAATCAACCAGGTCTATGAGAAGTCAGTCGGAAGACTTGACCCACGGTAAACGGAACCTCTCTTGGGGTTATCCTTCCATATTGACGCAAGACGGCTCATGGGCTGAGAATATATAAGATGCTTGCGACCGTTTGACCTATGGAAGACAGATACATCGCTTCCCCATATTTGACTTCCAGACTGTCTAACCGAGAGGGTCATGGAAGCAATCGGGAGTACAACTAATAAACCACGTTCTCCATAATTGTCGATCGAGATGGCCAGGCCACGCGCTGAAGGCAAAATTGTTCGGCGCAGCACCAAGTCTGGATCTGACTCTGACCGCCAACGATGCTGGACGCAGACATGGAGGGGCGTATCGGGAGATGATCTCGACTGCACTTCTAGGCCTGCTGAGTGGGGCAGACCTATTGAATTGGAAAACAGCCGTGAGGGACTTGGAGCATGGAGTCATGTGAACCACGCATAATGGGCGGGGTCATGAGTACAAGGACAGACTTAACGCATTTCGGAGCACTAAAAGCTGGTGAAAGAGGCCGCGAAGTTTCAAACGTATTAAAATGAATTCAAATAATTAACAACCGATGTTCTGCTCAAAATACAACAGGAACAAGTGTCCGAGAGTATAGCTGGAAACTTGCAGTGGATAAATCAGCCTCGGCGGTTTATGAGCCCCGGGTGGGCAAACAGTCATCAGTAGCTAGACTAGCAAAACCACGGAATGCTTGGGCATCTGAGTGTACTGTGAGAGTCGAAATTGGTGGCCATCTTTTAGGGTCCGTGCTAGACTGCAAGGTACGTCATTTAAATGGACATAAAGGGCAGTGTCGGAAAAGACGATAAATTTCCAACCTGTTTGCAGTCGAGACTTCAGTACATCAGGTGGGATCGCAACAAGCCAGTTGAATATACCCGCCATGCCACCGGCAAACAGGGTCTGAGGTACACCGAGATCCGATTTGCTGTTTAAAAATAAAAAGACGTATTTTCACCCGGGTTTTCTTTGTGGTAGAGGTAGGTTTTGCAGAACCCAGTCAGAAGGACTGGTTAAGTCAGATCTACTAAGTCACTAGCAGCCAAGGGCATGACGACTATTTAAATCATCGACAAACAGGGGACTTGCACTAGAGAGGCTTTAGCTTATAACGATATCCTCAAGCAAGAACTATGGAACATCAATAATCTACTGCCTTAGAAGGACATGCTATCAAATCCTAATGAAGGTTTCCTTTGCAGCTGGCGAGAGTGCTGTACAACCTGTGATTTCAGCGATGTGGAAAAGTACTTACGTTGAGTTTTCAGGCATCAGAAGTTCTTTAATCCATTCGTAGCTCAGGAAATACATTCCGGAGGCGGGCACATCTGCAAGTGGAGAAATGCGAATAAGGCAAGCGAGACCGCGGCAAATGTCCCTTTTAAGAGGAGATACTCCCACCTACTAAAGGTAGAGAAGTACGCTGGCTACCGAAGACACCTTTTTTTCTACTCCGGTCTAATGACCTTTGGAAAACGGGTTAGGCGGCAATCTGCCGTGAGAGCGGTGTTAAATGCTAGCGTACACACAAAAAGAGGCAATTGCTTGTCGAGTTCACCCGCTTCTGTGGACAAGAAGTTTCACGACCCAAAAAATTCGAAACAGAAGTTAAAGTGGCAGTAATGCACGTAATGGGTAAAAGTGAAGAATGCGACGTCAAATTTCCCGACTATTCTTATCGGGCAGTAAGATTCGAACCAAGCACTGTATAACTTAAGAGATTTCTGACCCGAAATTATTAAAAGGTGTCGGACAAACCCAGTCTTGCATTCGATGACACAGCGGGAGTACTTAATGCAAAATGCAGATTGTTATACTTGCACGGACTCACCCCTGAGTAGAGTAGCTGCTGTCCCCTTGTAAATGCTGCGGATGCCGCCTTCTCTGTGGAGTTTGCGAACAACGTCCACAGGACCCTTATACTTGATTGGTCCAGTGGAATGAGCCTGAATCTGTACAAACGGGAGAAGATGAATTGGACCGAGTTGGGTGACCTCATGTACACTTTCAGAGGCATGTTGAAGAAACCCCAGAATCCGGTAGTCTGGTGCTCTCTATTGTTTGCGAATTTCCAATTAAGAACGAGGGAAAATCGTTCAGTTCATCAAGTAAACAACACAGATGACGCACGTACTACCTCACTTACCCCTTCTATCAAGGACAGGAAAACTCTCGATAGCACTTCAGAACGGTCACGAAGGATGGTAGATAAGCTTGGAAGGAATTAATTTTGTATGCACCGACCTAAAGGCAGTTGGAGCGAGCGTGAATACAGACTGAGAATATCTAAGGGACGATATAGTCTAGAAACAATTCGCAATCATACCCATTGTCCTTGTACCTGCTCCAGTCTAGTTAAGGCCCATGTACTACGTCCGCACAGAACCCTCGTGCGCGTAGTCCGGTTTTTTACACTGACTCCACACCTATTACCTGAAAAAGCCTTAACTTAATAGTCCCCATGCTTGCTTTACTGAGATGGCACAAGGCGGCAGCACCTGTCAGTAACTTCAGTCACAGTGGCTGACCACGAAATTCGGAACAATCGACTTAGGGTATACTTCATTTATAACCTACCTTGGCTGTGTTTTACTTATCCGGAGCACTGCACGCTGCACTGAGCTAGTTGTAGCCAAGATCCATGAGACGGGAGTGCTCTACAGCCAAATGTCACATAATGGAACGACGGCGGAAGAACACAGTCCTAAAATACGCTAAACTCGGCAGCATCCTCCTTCACCAATGCTCAGCGCTGTAGTGCTTGTTGGATGGTAGTAGGCGTGTACTAATCGCAGTGGCTTCAGACCAACCACGGAAAATCTCGACTAACAGTCAAATGCCGCAGCAAGGTTCACGAAGTATACGCCATTCCGCTGCTGACGGCACCGGTGATAAACGAGTTCTACGATAAAGCTAATCGGCGGCCGGAAATTGCAGTGATAACGGAGACAACCTTGAAGAATTTGACGGAGAATTAAGAGGGTTGATTCAAAAGTGGTATTTTACTAGATCTTGGAAATTTATATTGAGGATAACGCCTTTTTGGTCGGTTAGCATGATTGTTGTTTCTCAAATTGGGACCAGTAAACCATGCGCTGAGGCAGTTGCAGATTCTGTCTGAAGAGAAGCCTTAACCAAGCGTTCAATCTGCCCTTAGTTTTACTACAACATGAAAGATCCCCAGAGCCGACAGGTAAATGTATGTGCCCTTAGATTAGTAAGACAGTCAGGGGGAGGGGGGGTAGAGCCCATCAAGTTTGGGAACTTCACTTTGAGTCATGCATCCGAGTAAAGATGCCTTAAGAGCTGCTAATGCCTGTGTCAGGACGGCGGCGTTTGGAGACAGATCGTGGTCAGTAGCCGTGGTGGCATCCTCGAGCTATTAAACATCACATTCCTTTCGTAGGCCGTTTTTTAAACAAACAATCGAGATCTTGGAAAAGAATGGGTAGAACCGTTTGCACCACCGATGTTGACCTTGCATCGCGGAGGGACCTGTAGTAGGACCTGTTTATTGTTCCGCGGACAAGTAGTTCGTCCAATTTTGAAAGCGACTGTCGCTAGCGCACCTGAGGACTTTATGCTGTCTGTGGTGCTGGAAGGGGATAATTAAGAAAACCAAGCAGTTAAGTGTCGAGAGCAACGGACCTCCTTGCAGAGGTTTTTTGCGGCATTTGTAGACGCATCCCGCTCAACACTCTGACACGCCAAAACTGGACGTAAGACCTTAAGTCGAGACAAACTCCACGGTTGTGTAAAGATCGTCACGGGAAACCATCTCTGTATGTAATAAAAACCCATCGTCGGAGTGTACAGGAGCGACGGTGACCACAGTTACACGCGAGTACAATCCTTGGGCACCAGTGTATAACGTTTCTCTGTAGAGTGGGTATCACCTTAACAGAAAATGTAACTAGCAACTCCGAATACGTGGGCATTCCCTAAGTTAAGAAATTTTCTCCATAACACGCTCAAGAATAGCAGAACAGTTGCACTAATTCATGAATGGTTGTCGTGTATGCTTTGACTGCTTCGACTCTCATCCTCGATTTGAAAGTACATGTTCAACATCTTCTGGTCCGCGTTGCCAAAAATTAAGGAATCGTGTGGATTAGTGGACGGCACATTTATCGTTCACGCTAGGCAAGTGGACAGGTCACTATTTTATTATTGGCGAGAGAAAGTTAACAGAGGACCACGTGTAAAGAATTCGCAAACCGCAGGTCGACGAGGTTACTTTCGGCGACCCAAGTTCAATCAGCACGGAAATGCTTGCAAATTCCGGATAAAAAAAACGTGCTCGACTTCGATTCGTTCCGAAAAAAATAATGCTGACATAACCACTTTGAATGGAAGCAAGAGTAATCGGCTTTCATGAACGAAATTAAGCACGCGGAGATAGATGGATGTCGAGTACAAACGAAAAAAATGACCCTTGGATGGAATCAGTCAATAGTAATCGGACCATGGAACCACGCTAGTTTGACAGCAAAAGTGGATTTTCGGAAAAACGGGACTATGGAAAACTTACCTGCAAGATACACTTTATTCTTTCCCCAGGAACCATAATAGCTGTTGTGAATACACCAGAGAGCAAACCGGCACAAAAGATCTCGGGTCTCCTACAGGCATAATAAACAACACGAATTACGTTATACGATCCGGATCTTTGGAAAATAACTCCTTCCCGAGGTTGAATCCAAAGAAGCAGACGGCAAACATGGGCGTCACACCAATTAATGGGGCTCCCATCCCTTTGTAAAGACCCCGAAGTCCCTCGTGCATTATAGTTTTACGGGCGCAGTCAATAGCACCGTGGTAAAGCGGACTTGCGCCAGGAAGGGGGTGAGGCATGGTTTGCAAACGGACTTTAATTGTATCAAGCGGGTGGCCCGTGGCAACAGTGCACATTCCGCCAAAGCCACCGGCGAGAAGGGATTTCCAGGAGCTTACAGGGACTTCACCATAACGATTCTCGGACATTTTACATTCACAGCTGCCACTGGCAGGACGTGCAGGGTCGCGCAACGAGAGGACAGTGGGTTTCGGGAGGCGCTAGAACCTGCACGGACTGTGGTGCCGGTCATATTGTATCAGGCGGTCCTAGCACAGTTTGTTTTAACAACGCGAGCTGGGAACAGTTTCCGGGGTCCAATTCCACCCGCGATGGTACCGTGGTTTTTGTCGTGTTATAGTACCCGTCTTTAATTCCCCCACCACCTCCTCGTGGAAGATCTTCAAAGCCAGCAGGATGAACCAGGTTGAATATACTAATATATTTTAGTTTTGTCCATCCTCTCAAATGGGCGTTTATATAAATAAATAATTTTTATTCAAGATCCGTGGGGTCCGGTCATAGCAAGAAATAATACATTGTTATAGGAATTTAAGACTATGTGGACAGAATCTGTGCGATACTCTACTCATGGTTGTCTGACTAAGTAGTCTGATACGAAGAATGATGGGCAAACAGTGAAAAAAGCTCCTATCGAATAAATAAGATGAATATGACTGGGCCGACATTATGGGATAAAAACTGTCGCTCATTAAAGGATAAAAAGCGAGCAGGACTAGCCTGAATGTGGCAGTGTATATCGGATTTCACGAAGGGGTAATTATGCGGGTCAGACAGGACTGGCCTGCATGCGGTATTGAGTAAAAGGTTCGAAATGGACATTATCCAGGCGGAATTCACATGCCGGACAAGGCTATTCACGTCAGAGTGGCGAGACGAGAAGAACCCAGACACGATCGGTAACAGTCAACTTCAAGTCCAGCGGAGGAGGCGGCAAGGGAGTTGCAACTAAACTACTAGCAGATAGCGAGTACAGAGGGTTCCGCCAAGAGCGTCGGCAGAACGTTTGGGGTCAAAATGAGGAGATGTCGTCAAGAGCCGCAAAATTCAATGCTGGGTGAGTGAGGGTTCGAAATCGCGAGGCCAGAGTTGAATTCTGACGAGTTTCGCCGATCAGCGAAACTGAGGCGGCTTAAAGCGTGGACGTCAGCCTAGCCACGAGACTTTTGTGAGAGAATTTCCCAGGAAGGATATCGCATTCTGTGGGGGGAAAGGAGCACGATGAAAAAACTGAGAAGTCGAAAAAAATAAAATATGCCAGCGCATTCAGCCTTAAATTCACTGTATTTATTGCTGTGGAGTTTTACCTATGCCTGATGAGAGAATGAGCTAGCCAACAATGGTTACCAGTTTCCCTGACCGTCACTTCCTTCCCCAAGTCCTACACCTTTTTATCCACGTCAGAATTTTTTGATGCCACAAGATTTTTTGTGCGGAACCGGATGGGTACATCCCTACCGTGTGTTCCGTGGGCAGCCAAGCACTGGACGACGCAGCACACCTCCTTCAGAAACAAACAGCCTTTCCCCTCAAAGTTTTCGTTCTTGTTGGGAGCGCCTACACTCCCAAAAACAAGAGCCAGCCAATCACGGGAGGCCACGTGCGTTTTCTCTACTGCGCTGTCATCTTACTCGTGGCGCCTCTCCATTGACTTTTCCTCTCGGGCCTGATCAATCAGCATATTCAAATTATCGACCGGCCCGTCTCGAATGTTCTTCCCGAAGGGTATTGGGCCGAACGCCGGCGAAGCACCGTAGGGCGTTATAAATACGCGTTACTTCCAGTTAATTTTGACTTGCAATTTCCTAATACACAGTTTCGTGGCCGGTCGCGTTCTCCTTCTCTGCCGCGTTGATATTGGGGACAAGGGTCGAGTGCGCATACGCTCCACAGGATTTCACGTACCAGGCGGGTCATAACAGTTCTTAATGTCAGATCCTTGCCAAATAAGATGCCTATGCTTCAGACTCTGGTTTTCGTCCATTGTTTAGATATTGTTTTTCTAACTGAGACGTGGCAATCAGCTTTCGTAGCTGACTCCGCACTCTCTCTTCTAGGCTATACTTGCACTCGAAATGATCATCAAGACAGCCGTGGTGGGGACCGTTGCGTCCACTTTAAGCAAACACTAACATTTCTGCCGCTGGACCTTTCGCATTTATTCGCGGTAGAAGGCAGCTGCTGGCTCCAGGTTGCACTAAAAAATAAGTTCTCCTTACTCATTGGCTGTGTCTATCGCCCTCCCAACGCCAACGACAATTTCGATCGTTTACTCTCGAAGGCATTTCATGCTGCGGCCGACTGAAGCCTCAAGTACCGATTGGTTTCGGGTGATTTTAATTCTTCTGAAGTCTGCTGACCTCCGCGTTCTGGCCACAGAAGTCTCGAAGACTTTCTTGAGGCTGTGGATGTTGAGATGTGGACTCAGGTTGTCGATTTGCCCACCCGAGGCTCAAGCATACTTAGCCAACTTTTCTGTAGAGGCTACATGCCTTCGTCAGTGTCATCCCTAGGTCCACTCGGGGGCTCAGATCATGACATAGTTGTTTCAACGTTGGAACTCGATGCTGAGAAAACGATGTTGTCAAAGTATAGCTTCTTCCGCGATTTCCGATCAGCTCACTCGAGCGAATTATTAAAACACCTTAATTCCTACGACTGGAGAGATTTCTTCCTTAGTTCGGATGTAAATGCTTGTACTGCAGAAGTGTACGAAATTTTGGATCCGCTCATTTCTCGCTTTGTCCCCCGTAAGAAAATAATTAATGTTGGGTATGAGGTTTTCCTACGCTTACCCTGTCTCCGCAGGTTGCGCATTTTCAGAACAATACTTCTGTTCCGCCCCTGATTTGTAAAATTTTTGAGCGGGCTAAGAGATGGTCCGATGAAAAACAGCTAGCTGAAGGGGTCAAATTCACTTAAAACCGTTCGCTAGATGTCTCGAAACTTTTCTCTTTAAAAGTACGAACTC